GAAGAACGATCTGTATTTTGTTGTCTTCAAGTGCACTATAATCTGCAGAGAAGCTATAAAGGGAATATCAACTAACCCCAGCGAATCGGGTGACCAGTACAGGTCCTAACAGTTTCTCAGCGAATGGATAAACAAAAACCTGAAAACAGAATAGGCCGAAACCTAAAGCAGAAATGTCGATAAGCAATAATTAGTCACAATTCTATTAGTAAGAATTCTGCTTATATGTTTGCTTAAATCTCATGCTGATTCAAATAAAACAAGACTTTAATGATCATTTTCACAAGTTATCATTTTCATCAAGAATGAGGATGTTCTGCATACCTGAGATAGCAAGAACTGTTCCAACATCATTGGTTGAGTAGCTCAAGCCTCCATATTTCCTTGGACTATTAGCCCATAGTGCAAATATCTGCATAGTCAGATTCCAAGTTATGAGTTTCTTTGTTCAGATAAAGAGCCCAATTCAATGAAGTGGCAAAGACTCTTATTCCACAAACGTGGAGCCTTAATACTGTTCCATCAATTTTAAATCTGGTAAGATACTTGTCTATTGCTTCAATGGGATCAACATACAGAATCTAGAACCAAGGGATTAGGACCCAGCTAAACCTTAGAAAATTCCAAAATGCACCCCACATTCTGGTCAGTCCCTATTCAATCCACTGCTCTCAGCTGGGACCACAACTGTCAAACAGCTACAATCTGCTGAGTAAAGACTAAGCTAAAGACAACAGACCGCACTACAGAGAAAGAACAGGTAAAGCGTCTAACTTTGACACCAAATTCTAGATCTTCAATATCATCAAGAAAGTAAGTGATTGAACTTTGAATGTTCAGTAGGTAGAAAAAAATGAGGCATGCCAAATGAGAGTACGCACGAAAATTCTCTAGTTCAATTACTTACCTCAGAGTATGCAGTATCATGCAGACACAGTACACAATACACAATAATAGATGACATAAGGGGCCAATTCTTCAAGAGAGACTGAGAGGCCTTTCTTTCGGTTTTTCCTGCCTTCCCGGTAGAGGCAGTGGATTCATGAGATGCAGCTTCAAGTATTTCGTATGAGTCATCATGTGATGTGCTGTCCTGCTTATGATTGTGCAATGTTTCCTACTCATAGAAAGAAGGAGGATAGTTGGTTAACTCTGTGCGAATATAAATAAAGAGGAGTCACCAATGAATACAAGGTTCTGAGTAAGCTTTCGAAGAAAATAGAGTACCGGAATGAAGCAGCATAGGACTGTCACAAGCAATGCAAAAGCTGATATAGTGAAGCAGGGCAAGGCATACCGGAATCTGCATTGCAATTCGCATATTATTTCATGAGATTCCATTATATCCATTCCATTAAACTCTGAACAAGAGGGGTAAGAATGTACACCTGCCAAAAATGGAGTCTTGGGAGAACACATTTGGGTACTTGTCTGCCGGCTGATTTCAGACAACAATGAAAAGCATTAATTAGAACACTAGAAAGCTAAATATGAATCAATAGGTAGGCAAAATAGATGGACACATGATAAACTTCAAGCATTTAGAGCATAGCGAAGGGTAAGGTTTGGAGAACAAAGAAAAATATAAAACTTGGATGTGATAAACTTACTTGTGCTAAAAAGCCACCTAGAGCAGGGCCAATGATCAGTCCGATGCCCCAGGCAGTACTAACCTGAATTTAAGTAAAGTAACAAACGTCATGACACCAAAAGTTAAAACAAATAAAAAAATTTGATGGAGAAGCTTACAGCTGACATTGCCGTAGCTTGATATTCATCACGAAATATCTCTGAGGCATATGCCTGAAAATTTAGAGATTAACAAATGGATATGAGAAAATGCAACTGACAATCTGGTGTGCATGCAGAACAAAAGTCAAAAGGAACAAAGAGTAATAGTGAGAACAAAGAGGTCACCTTCATTGTTCCAAGCAAACAGTTGAAACTACCAAGAAGGAACCTGGTGCCAATAGCCATCCAAAAGTTTACGCTCAAGCCAAAAAGAGCGTTGAAAATGGCACTGCAATAAATAGCTTTAATCAGTCATCCAAAGACGAACAGAATAATCAGTATATATGTAGAAGGATGGATACACATACATTGAGATAGTTCCCAAGAGTATAATAGGCTTTCTTCCATAACGGTCAGCCACAATTCCCCAGAAGACTGAAGTCAATGCTCTTCCAAGCATAAACGAGCACCCTTTACAAGAAGTAAAGAAATCAATTAGAACAAACGGTAGAGATATATAATAAGGAGATTCAGTGACAGAGGCAAATGTGATGTCTTCTCTCTCACCCACAAATCCAGCATAGAACCCAATATCTTTCTCCGTCTTAGCCACACCAAAATCATCTATCTATGAAAACAAAGAAAACATATTAACTACGGACCATGTAAAATGACCATGATATGATGATAGCCTATTGAAACACTAAACTGACCATATAATAGAGGAAAGGATAGAGTGAGGAGATAGGCAGAGCTGCAAAACAAAATGAGAAATTGCATAAAGGAATAATTACTTTCAACACAAGAAAGCAGTCTCACAGCCAATTTTTGAGACAGACTGAAACATAACATTAAAGCAGCAAAACAAATTCATGGAATCTCTGTAATAGTAAGAACTGTGTGTATAGAGAATCTTAAGGGAAGGGGAAGAGAAAAAGGTGTTTACAAGTGGAGAGGACAATGATCCAAACGAAAGAAAGCTCCAGGTAAGGATAACCTCGGCGGAGCAGTTTCATCTGCTCCACTTTACAACCAGGACATCCGTCGTGATAGTTGTGCTTCTCCAACAACGCCTCCTTGTACTCTTCCGCCATTTCTCCCTTTCCGATTGCACGTAATCCAATCAACAAATCAATCTTGTCCGAATGATTCAGAACCTAAAACAAATATGAAAAGCAAAATCATAATTGGAGAATCAATGGGGAAATCATGAAAAATCGAAAGGGAATATATCAAAATAGGAAAGGAAGATCAATGAGTACCACACAGGGAATCTCCTCTTACTCTCTCTCTCTCTCTCTCTCTCAATTGCTGCTGGAGCGGAACGTGTGTGAGAGTGAAAAAGACCAAAGAGACATGTATGTATGTATCTTATATACAGTCTATCTACAAAGGTGATGTTTATATATATATATACCGTGGCAGTGGTAAGCTAAAAGGGCCAAAACCAAAAAAAAAAAAAAGGTGGTCATAGTAGGTGTCATCATAATCTCATCTTCTTCACATGTTCACGGGACCTAAACATACACATTTTTGTTTTTTTCATACATCATCCGTTTCTTTTTTAATTTTTTTTTTTAAAGCAAGTATTTAATTTTCAAATTTTGAAAGTAATCCTTTGATTTATTGAGTGAGTATTAGAGTCCGATTAAATAAATAAAAGGTAGGAGGAATGTTTTTTGGAGGTCACATGGGGGATAATGTAGACAGGAAGAAAGAGACAAATTAATGAAAGTGGAGAGACACAAATGATTTAAGGACTAAACAATGTTGTCGACGGATCTTATATCTCTTTCTTTTTAAGACTATGGAGATGGTGTGTAACTGTTATCTCATCTCATTTAGCAAATCCAATTCCTTCACGTGTGTATACTATAATGTTATTTCAATAATTCTGACTTGTCTTGTTAGGGAAAAAGACATCATCAACATTAAAGCAGCTGATTCTTTTAGTATTACTTTATAAAAGCAGCAGAAAATATTTAACTTTTTTTTGGTGAGAAGCATAAACAATAGTAAGACTATATATTATTAGTAGATTTTTGTACTAATAATTTTTCTATTTTGGATAAATGGTAAGACTATATAAAATTTGTCGTCGGTTGTCTGCATTATTGATTCCCGCTTTGGAATCAAAATTGTAACTAGAGATGATTGTCTTGGTGATGACTCTCTAGTCTACTACAACAGAAAAATAAAAATAAAAAAACAAATTGTCGAGAGTATAAATGCCATTGAAATGGCCGTACAGATCTGTTTTTTGGAAGAAAAATATTATAAACTAGCTATGACGTCCAATGTTTGTTGCCCTGAGTGCTTTGAGACTCATACGAATATACTGTTTTTTGGTTTACTAATTCGTTTACTAATTCCATATATCTAATTTTAATATTTTGTATTGTTAAGTGGGGAAAAATATAAAATACAGTAATAGTGGTCAATAAATGACTCCGTATGTGTACTTTGTTTTTTTTTTTTGGTGTTGAGCGTCAAGAGCCCACAGTAGAGTGTGTGTTGACAGTTCCACGTCAGCGGGATCAGAAGAGCCCACCATATAAAATCACGAGTATTCAGAGAGGAACGCGTGTCCCCCACACACTTCACCACAGACAAGCTTCACTGCAGCGCGTTGCTCCCACCCTCCACCACATGGGGTCTTATACGACTCTCACACTTGCTCCTCCTTATCCTCCGTCTTATGTTATATGACATCACACCAAGGATGATTAAACTCTAATTTTATTGGGCCTTTTCTTTATTATGGGTCCGTTAACAGTTGAAAATTTTGGGTTTTCTTATTTATATTAAGGGTCCGATAACCTTGCACTTTTTTGGTTTTGCATATGTCTTTCCCGAAGACACGACACCATATAAATATGGGTACACAATTTCAAGAGTTGAGTTTTTTGTTTTTTTTCTACCTTTTTTTTATCTTGGCGGTAAATTTAATGTAAGGAAAATTTTATTACTTGAGATAAATCAGATTTCAGATTACAAACATGTTACTTACCAAAAAAAAAAATTAAAAAAAAAAAAGTAAATATCATCAAGAGAACTGGTAAAAAAACATCTGATTTCCATTTTTCTTTTTTTTTTCTTTTTTTTCTTTTCGAAATTGTTGCATTTGTCAAAAAGAATAAAACAAAAAGAAAAAAGAAACCAACTCCACCCAAATTTAATTGCGGATAACTGATATGACACACAGAGGCTCTACGATGATAAGTAGTAACCCAAATGATAGAATTATCTTCTTCTTCCATCCATTGGACCAAAACACAAGGTAGATAAAAATAGAAACAAAAAATAAATAATCTTAAGGTGTGGGTAAGCTCTGCAGCTCTCATCCATGGCGACGATACCCACCACAGCCACCGCTACTATGTGTCCGTCTCCTCCTCTCCCTACTATTTCCCCCCTACTCAGAACATCTCACCAATGCCAACCATCTCCTTCTTTATCATCCCCTTGTTCCATTAAGCTTACTACTCCTCTGTTTTTCGGCGAGACCACGCTAGATAGAACTGCTGAGAGCTCCGTGGTGATCAAACCTGAGAAATGGGGAATTCAATCTGAGAAAAGGAGGAAGAGAAGGAGGAGAAGAAGAGGAGGCCTCGACCGTTTGGATCCTGAAGAAGAGGAAAATGCTTGCTCAGAACCAGAGACAGAACCAATTAGTGTTCCTGTTGTTGGTGGAGCTTCACGATCTGGGTTTTTGAGTCGTTTAGAGGAGGTGCAGCTTTGCTTGTACCTCAAGGTATCTCTCTTGTTCCATCTTTGGTAAGATTCGAACTTTTTTTTTATCCTTGTTGGTAAATTGTACCTTTGTTCTGCAGGAAGGAGCAAAACTTGAAAATTTGGGAACAAGTGCTCAAGAGAATGAAATGGTGTCAGTTTTGCTGTCAAGTGGCAAAGGGAAGAAGAAGCGTAGTGCAAATGAGATATTATGCAGAAGAAAAGAGGCTAGAGAAAAAATTACACGGTGTTACCGTAGGCTCGTCGTCTCTATTGCAACGGGGTACCAAGGGAAAGGGTTGAATCTGCAAGACCTGATTCAAGAAGGAAGCATAGGGCTCCTTCGAGGAGCTGAGAGATTTGATCCTGACCGAGGCTACAAACTATCAACTTATGTCTACTGGTGGATCAAACAAGCTATCCTAAGGGCTATCGCACACAAGTCTAGACTCGTTAAATTGCCGGTGAGTCCCCAATTCTCACATTTTTTCATTGAATTAAGAGATGAATATATATCTGTGTTACATTATATATTTTGCTGCCACATTTAGATGATAAAACTATATGCATCAACTATATTAAGCCATCTTCAAATATGTGTTACATTTTATAGTTTGCTGCCACATTTAGATGATAAACTATATGCATCAACTCTATTAAGTCATCTTCAAATATGTGCTACATTATGGAGTTGCTACAATTATTTAGATTATAAACTATATTTAGCCGTCTTCCAGTGCTATAGAGAAAAGTAAACTCAAACGGTTCCTTTTTGTTCTGGGAAGTGAAGTAATTAGTGAATACATCGTTTTAGTTTGTTGTGTGTAGGGAAGCATGTGGGAGTTGACGGCAAGAGTTGCAGAAGCTAGTAATGTGTTGACTAGAAAACTAAGACGGCAACCGAGCTGTGAAGAGATTGCAGAGCACCTAAACCTCCATGTATCTGCGGTTAGACTTGCCGTGGAGAAGAGCAGGTCCCCTGTTTCATTGGACAGAGTAGCGTCTCAAAATGGCCGCATGACATTGCAGGTACTTCAAATTTTTCCATGAAAATGCAAAGTAGAGAGAGACTTTGGACTGATTTATCATGTTCAGGAGATTGTACGGGGACCGGATGAAACAAGGCCAGAGGAGATGGTGAAAAGAGAACACATAAAGAATGAGATTGAGCAGCTTTTAGGAAGTCTTACCGCGAGAGAATCTCGAGTATTGGGACTCTACTTTGGGCTCAACGGAGAGACTCCAATGTCGTTTGAAGAGATAGGTAAGTCGTTGAAGCTTTCGAGAGAGAGGGTGAGGCAAATCAATGGCATTGCTTTGAAGAAGCTAAGAAATGTACATAATGTGAATGATTTGAAAATATACTATTCCTCTAGTGAATGAAGCAAATATGTTGTTCAAAATCATTACTATATAGAAATTACAACTAAAAGACATATTGGTATAACGGTCATACTGTACAAATAGAGTATATCGAATTACAAAATGGTCTTACTGCTCTCCTTTATGGAGATTATGGAGAATATAGAGAGAAGCAGAGGACAAGAAGATGCAAACGGAATAACTGAGCAAATCGAGACCAGTGGCGATGGTAACCATCTTGCTTCTCTCGAACATCTTCACCAGAAGAATCATAACAATAACATGTCCAACTTTGGTTTTCAGCTCATCAAGTGAGCTGATCTTCATCCATTTAGGTCTCTCCTTCATGGCAAACATTCCAAAGAGAGAAGAGGATTTAAGGGCACGATCAGCTTCCGGAGGGATATCTTGAGGCGAGTGACTGATGAAGAGTCCATACAAACCCATACTAAATATCAGCATAACTGTCCCAGCCAGATAAACATCTGCGGTCAAAAATTTCACACACAATGTATGAGTATTAATAACGAAACAAACCAAGCCTTAGATCGTATATAACAATCAATTTTACCGATAGCTTCGACCAGGCGTAAAACCATTTGGCCAGTGTGGATGCCTTTGGCACAGTTAGTCCAATAGACTTTATATGCCTCCACGATGTAGACACAACCCTACAGAGTGAGGAGAGTCATTACATCAGGACTTTTGTGTAGCAAGAACATTTCAGACTAAACTAAACCCTACGAAGTTATTTACATTAAGGAAGCAGAGTAGCGAACCAGCCAAGGAACCTCCTACTGCCAAAAGCGCCAAGAACCGGAAATCAAATATAATCTGCTCAATCCACAGATACAGAAGAAGTCAAACACAAAACACACTCCAAAGTCTTCTTAGTCAATCAATATACAGAAGAAGATAAAGACAAAGGTTTTGAAAGATTATTACCCTCTCAACGTTGGATTCGGTGGAGCGAAAGAACTGAGCAACTGGGCTGTTGTCCTCCTTGGGAGCCGATGTTCCGTAAGAACTGGGCAACGTGGTCCCGTTGACGGGGATCGAGGTAGGGGCCGATGCCGATGACTCTGGAGACGATGATGAGCCAAGAGTTGCAAACGGCAAGAGGAAACGGCGGCGCGTGGGTGACACTACTAAATATCTCGGGACGGAAACGGAGAGCGGAGTGGCTGAGATAAAGGAGGAGAAAGCCATAGATAACAGTAACAGTCTAAACCAGTAAGCTGGTCCGCGGCTGAGTCACAAGTAGAAGAAAAGATCCGGCTCGTCGTCGGGTGGGGAACGCGGAGGATTAGGCGGGAGAGAGATATGTGGTGTGTAGATGAAGTTGTTTTTTTGTTTCTTTTCCTTTTTATTGTTTTTAATTAATTATAGACCAAAACGGTCAATTCATCGCATTATAGATGTCGAACTATAGACTAAACTTTAATATATTTACAGTGGCAAAAAAATTTAAAAAGTATATCAGTGAAAATTTGTAGTAGTAGGTAGATTTAGATTGAATCCTTGATCTAGACCCGGCCGTTTTAAAAATACTATACAACTCGAACGTCACGCCTGTTCTTGGTTGGTCAGATTTTAATATATCATTTTAATACTAAAAAAAGGTCGAGTTCTGAGATTTGAGTGAGTAAAGCATAATTATACAGTACTAACTACCACTTTCATAGTTTTTGACGACGTGACATAATATATTAATACTGTATACACAAGAAAATTCAGCTAAACTTCACAATTTCGCATTTATAATTTGTATAAAAGTTAAATTCAGTTGTAAAATATTTTAGATACGAAGTACATTTTTTTTTAATACAAATATAAATTTACACTTACTATTAAGACAATTGATATATATGAAAATTATGACTAAAATAATGCAAATGGGAGAGGATAGTATGGTAAAATCCAGCGGACACTCTGTGACACGCTGGGATCGACGGCTTGTGAGTGTTTGTGACTCTGTGACCTCTCTCCCACTCTCCCTCTATAACTTACAACCAGCACAGCACAACACACTCAGGTGCCTTCTTAAGCTCTTCGGAACCAGTCCTATTCATTCAGGAATCATCATCTCTCTCGCCCTCCTTGTTAGTTTAGTCTCCCAGTGTTTACGATTCAGATTCTTCTTTTCTCCTTGATCCGTATTCTGATTCACCATCTCGCCTTTTTGTTTGATCCGCTTTTTCCTTTTTTTTTTTTTGGCAGATCTCGTCCGTTGTTGCGTAATATCTAAAAGCCAGTTGCTATGGATCTCGCTTCGAATCTAGGTGGCAAGATCGATAAGTCCGATGTTCTCACCGCCGTCGAAAAGTAATTTGTCCTCCTCCACCACCCATTTTTTTTGTTTTTTCTTCTTCTCTCCTTAGATTTCGTTCTCGATTCACTTGCAATTCGCGTTTACTTCTCATGCATAATAATGATCTCATATTCTATTTGCCGTATTTCGTTGTTCGTTTGTTTTCTTTTTTTTTTTTGGGTTCAACATTGGATTTGTTAGGTGCAATATCTCCATTTGTTTGGAATCAACGTGTACCTTTTTTTCCATACGTTTTTTCTTTTCTTTTGACCAATTCCAAGAAATCCGTGATGGCATTGGATTTCGCCTCTGTTCTTTTTTTTTTTTTTTTTTTTTTGTCACGGAGCAGAGTTTTCAATACAGCAGACTCTTAATAAGGATGACTGATGAGATATGGTCCCAAGTTTTTTTTTTTTTTTTTTCCCAGCCACCTTTTGACGTGTATTTCACTACTGTCACGTTCTCAAGGGGCCGTACCTATCTTCTTGTCATTGACTTTATTTATGCCAAACTTCTTCTGAGTTTTAAATTTGAAAAAAACAAAAAAAAACAACACAAATTGTTACTTCTAATATGATCACTCTAAGATGTATGTATCATCTGGCCTATTTGGTGGATGGACCTTAGTAATCTTTAGTTTGATTTTGACGCTTCAGGTATGAGCAGTATCATGTCTTCCATGGAGGAAATGAGGAAGAGAGAAAAGCTAATTACACTGACATGGTAAATTCAGAAATGTTTTTTTACATTAATTTTCTTCTTTTCACCACCTTGAGAGTTGTGAGACATACCCTGTTCTTATAATAGTTTTGCCTCTCGGCTTTGATAACACGTGAGATGAATACAATCAAAAGGCATATATGCATTTCTCATCTTTCATTGAGCTACATCATTATTGTTCCTGGATATCATATTCTCTATAGATTTGTATTACTAAACTTGTAAAGACACAAATCATTGCATGTTGGAATGACTATTCCTAATTTCAGGTTAATAAGTACTATGACCTTGCCACTAGCTTTTATGAGTACGGATGGGGAGAATCCTTCCATTTTGCACACAGGTATTTCCTTACTTTTAACTTCTTTAAACATTTCTTTATTGCAGCCTTTAGATACTGATTCTAGTTATATATATATTGATTAGCATGAGTTTTGTGTTTGTAGATGGAAAGGAGAATCTCTTCGAGAGAGCATTAAGCGACACGAGCACTTTCTTGCTCTTCAGCTTGGCATTAAACCAGGACATAAGGTGTGACAAACCTTGACCGCTTGCTTGAAAATGGACCTTTGGCCATTATATGCTCATTTCCTTCATGTTTCTGAATAGGTACTGGATGTAGGATGTGGTATTGGTGGACCGCTGAGAGAAATTGCACGATTCAGGTAAAATGACTACACATACCAAACAGACACACTTTTTTACATAATGTACTTCTACTTTACGTCAGATTAGTAATAGATTTCATGTTTAAGAAGATATGAAGCGTGATTTGTGTTTGCTCTGCTGCAGCAATTCCTCTGTTACCGGACTCAACAATAACGAATACCAGATCACCAGAGGCAAGGTAACATGTCTATTCTTGTAAAAGATGATGCATATCCTGTCATGTAATCATATGGTTTCTGGTCTTTTTCCTTTATGTGTGTTTATGATTCATATTGGCATCCTTTTCTTTGCAGGAACTAAACCGACTTGCAGGTGTCGACAAGACATGTAACTTTGTCAAGGTCAGTTGTAGTCGTAGTGCTTGTGTTTTACTGCATAATTTTTAAGAAAACACCTTGCAATGGGTCACGTGATCAATGTTGTCACTTGTTAATCTTGCAGGCTGACTTCATGAAGATGCCATTCCCTGAAAACAGTTTTGATGCAATTTATGCAATAGAAGCAACCTGCCATGCTCCTGATGCAGTAAGGGAAACTCTAAACAGCTATTTCTGTTGTTTACCTTATGCATCCTGATTCTTCATTATGATCTCAACTACAGTATGGATGCTACAAAGAGATCTACAGAGTGCTGAAACCTGGTCAATGTTTCGCTGCCTATGAGTGGTGCATGACTGATGCATTTGACCCTGATAATGCGGAACATCAGAAAATAAAGGTTTACTGTGCTCCTTTGCATCTATCCTTATAATTTGTTTTTGCTTCTGTCATCAACATGAATACAAACAAAGACCCCCAACTTTGCAGGGAGAGATAGAGATTGGAGATGGTCTGCCTGACATTAGGCTGACAACAAAATGCCTCGAAGCTCTGAAGCAGGCCGGTTTTGAAGTAAGCATCTGACTATAGATCCTCTTTTATTTCCAAACACACCAACATTTGCAACATCTAAAGTACTCTAACATCGTCTGTGTTGGATGAAGGTAATCTGGGAAAAGGATCTAGCCAAGGACTCGCCTGTCCCATGGTACCTACCTCTGGACAAAAATCATTTCTCGCTTAGTAGCTTCCGCCTAACAGCTGTTGGACGGTTCATAACCAAAAACATGGTAATAAAACATGCTCTGACTATCATCTTCCAAAACTCATCAACTATTAGTTGTCATTTATTAAAACTTGTCAATGTTATTTATGGGTGTAGGTGAAGGTGCTTGAATACATGAGACTAGCACCTCAAGGAAGCCAAAGGGTCTCAAATTTCCTGGAGCAGGCAGCAGAAGGATTAGTCGACGGTGGAAGGTGAGAGGATCTCAACTTCATATATTTCAAGATTCAAAAATAGATATCTCTTGTCTTTGTCGGTAAAAATTCTAAACTTGGTTCTTGGAATATTTATACAGGAGAGAGATCTTCACGCCAATGTATTTCTTCTTGGCCCGGAAGCCAGAGTGAGCGGATGAGAGAATGGTATCATCGTAGGTCGACTGAAGTTACCAAATTTCTCAATTTGCTATGTTATGTTCTTCTCTGTTTCGTCTCAATTTGTTGCAATGTTTTGGTGTCTTTTTAGATTTGCAAAGAAGAAAAAAAACCTTGTTGCATATCCTTTATTGACAAATTGTGTACTTTGGATGTTGGGTGCACGGCACTCACGTGTTCGTTCATGTGGGGATTTATATTTTCTTTTTCTCTTTAGATCTCATCAGAAACTCTTTTTGTCGTTTTATGTCGTGATTCTAAAAGTGGGGCCACCGATGGATATGATTTGGACTTTTGGAATCTTTTCATTTTAAATATCCTGAGGCCATCATTAACGCAGAACTCGTCCGGGTCTTGTGGTAATAAACAAAATCCAAATAATACAAATAGTGAATTTATAAGAGATATTCGGTTTCTGCTTAGAGCAACTCCAGTGGTGATTTTTTTGAGGGTACTTATATAAATTGTGGGCCTATATTTAATGCCAAAACATGAAAAGGGGCCCAAATATAAGAGAATCGATCCTGTTTTTAGTAGCTGAAGAAGCTGATAAGAACCGTTACGTGGCACTACGTGATTTGCGGATAGGAAAATAGAAAAAGGAAAAAATGTTATTTTTTTCCCAATTATTTCTTCTTCCCGACAAAAACTTTCTTCGACCTCTCGAGCTCTCCGGCGAAACCAAAGACGATTCGTACCAACTCCGGCCAAATCCTTCATCGTTTGATTTTTCTTAGTAATTCATGAGATTTCTTCGTGTGTGAGATAGAGATGAATTGGGATCGAGGTGAAATCAAACCATGTAAAAGCCCTCTCTTCGACCCAAATCGGCTTCATCGTTTCTCGGCGATCCCTCCTTCGCCTGGACTTTCGAGGTAACTTAAGTGAATAATTGATTGATTTTTTTGGTCTTCCTAACATTTGAGTAGTGTATTCTTATTCGTGAGCTCCCGATTCATGTATTTTGTTAAAGGGTTTGTTTTTTTTTTCTGAAAATTTGATAGGCCGATTGCTCAGCTGGGATTACTTCAATCGTTGCTTCCATTGTATAGTGCGGTGGCTTCTGCTAGATTGACTTCGTGCCTGGGTTAGTCTTTTCATCTCCAATGATTTGCATATCCTTTTAATACATCACCTCAGGTTATGAAATCTTAGGGTTTGTAGTCATATTGTGAATGTATTCAATCGGTCATAGGGTCAACATTCAATTAGTATTGGGATGTAGATGTATGCTCTTGATTTTTTGGTTAAAGTATTGTACTATGGGTTTAACTCATGTCGGATTTGGTGGTTTAAGGTGTAAATCGAGTGAGATTTTTCTGACTTGGTTTAGATCTGCAATGTTTGGTTTTACATTTTCTATATTTAGTATCATATGGTTGGTCATCCCGTTTAAGCTCAGAAATTGGACTTAACTAGTCAAACTAACCTTAAAGAAACAAGCTCAAGTATGTGAGTAGTCATTAGTTTATTGTGACTACAATGGTTTGATTTCAATTGTATACGAATCCAATATTGTTTGAGATTTTCCTTTATTCTCTTGTTAATAGTTTGAGCTGGTTAACAGTCTTTTAATATGGCAATTAAAAATCAAACTTTTTGGTAGTCTAACCGGTCACTAATTTCATTGTACTCTCTTCATGCAATTGGTTTTGCAGGTGCATGTAACTAGGGGTGGAGTCGTGGGTTTAGGAAAATGGCAATGAGTCTGTGAAGTACAACGGGAATGATGAACAATGTGGTGGAAGCAGTTGAAGCCATCTTACTCTTCCGGAAGGTATATCTTCTATCTGTTGTTATGTCTACTTTTTGATTATCTTAGATAAACTGACAAGGAGCTTATAATATATATTAGTTTACAGTTAGATTTGTGATGCTTATGCAAGTTCCAATCTTTTATTATCTCTAGTATATACCCTTTCCTCACAAGATAGATACAAGAACTAACCAGTTGTGGATAATGTATTATGGCTAGGCGATTGCCTTTACATTCTAAGGTACAGAAAATTGAAAGCCGAACACGTGAACAAAAAAGCAAAACAGAGGGAAGAGCATGGAAACCAGTTTCTATTGGTTTGCAAAAGAAGGTATAAATTGATGTGGAATTATATTGTCTTGTATATAATGGAAGAGCATGAATCACTTTTCTTTCTTTCTCTATGTTTCTACATAGGATAAAATTGATATAAATAACATACTGTAACTCATGACTTATTTTCGGTAGGTGGTGGGACTGCATCGCATTGCCAGAAGATGTTGATCTTTCTGATGAAGGAGCCTTCAGGATGCAAATAAAGAATCTTGCATATACGGTAAGTGTTTCATTTGTACATAACTACAAATGTTTTTTATTAATAACTACACTTATTTTGATTGATCAATTAAAAAATTGGCTGCTGCTTATAAATTTAAATGAAGTGTTTGGTTAGGCTAATGTAGTTGGCTGCTAGTTTAAAATTTAATTGAAATGTTAGGTTAGGATACTGTAGTGGGTTGGATTGTGATTCTTTGGTTGGAAAAGTGATTTTCTTAAGTATGTGATTGTGATTGTTATTGTTTGGCTGGATTGTGATTGTTAGTAAAAAATAAAATTTATTCTCTCTATATGATTGCTTTTGAAAATAGTGTTGACTTTAAGAAAAGTGTGCTTGAAAAGTGTATAGATCTTGTTTGTAGTGTGTACTCTCTGAAACTGTACTTTAAAGTGTTTATATTTTCTGTTATAGTCATCAAAACGTTTATTAAGCTTTGAAGATTTTGTGTTGTCTAATCGTGTATCTTTCTATGTATAAACAAAGATTTTGATCTTTATAAACCAAAGTAAAACACTGATATTAACTCTTCTCAGTTTTTAACATTTCCTTAATATTAACTCTTCTCAGTTTATCTTTCTCTTAAAACACAACTAATGACTTCCAGAAACCCTTTCAATTTTGCTCAACCTAATTTTATGGACTTGTTGAGTTCTCAACAGGATTCTAACACTTCTGATTCTAATCCTCTTCTTCCAAATTCTACACAAACGCCTTTCTCTTCTCAGCCTAACCATTTTAGCTCCCCTTTCTCTTCTCAGCCTAACCATTTTAGCTCCCCTTTCTCTTCTCAGCCTCTCCATTTTAGCTGTCCATCTGTCCCTGAAGAGTCTATTCAACTTAGTGGTGATGAGAATGAAGCTGAGGGAGGTAAAGGAAGTAGGATGAGGTGGACTAACCAGGAAGATGTGAAGCTGATAAGTGCCTGGTTAAATACCAGCAAGGACCCTGTTGTGGGTAATGAGCAAAGGGTTGATTGCTTCTGGAAGCGCATTGCAGCCTATTTCCAAGCAAGTGAGGGAGTATCCACTAGAGGGCCTGTGCAATGTAAGGCTAGGTGGGGTAAGATTAACAAAGATGTTAACAAGTGGGTTGGCTGTTACACACAAGCTTCTGCAAGAAAGAAGAGTGGAGAATCTGAAGATGATGTCTTGTCATTGGCACATGTGCTTTACAAGAATGACATGAAGAAGGCATTTAATCTTGGCCATTGCTGGAGGGAGCTCAAACATGATCAGAAATGGAACATGGCTGACTGTAGCTCTAAGAGGAGCAAGCTTGATGCAGAGGGAGCTTACTCGTCTAGTTCAACAAATGATGGAGTTGAGGTGAGGCCTCCTGGTGTTAAAGCTTCCAAGAAGAAAGGGAAGACACCTGCAATAAGTAATGATGTTGAGGATAGTGGAAAGGTTAAGCTTGATAGAATCATAGCCATGAAGGATAAGGAACAAGCTGCTAAAGAAAGGCAAGGCAAGATGAAAGTGCTTCAATGTCTTCTTAACAAGACTGACCTAACACCAGCTCAAGTTATACTTAGAGATAAGCTACAAGACCAAATGTTCAGTGACACTTAGGTTATATTCTCCTCTTTGATAAGCCAACTTACTTCTTGTCATTAATCTGCTAATAATGTGTTGGTTTTCTCAATAATGTGCTAATAATGTTCTGTTATTGTGCTAATAATGTTCTGTTTTTGTGCTAATAATGTGTTGCATATATTCTCTTCTTTCATAGTTGCTGTTTTTTGTCAAAAATGTGCTAATAATGTTCTGTTATTGTGCTAATAATGTGTTGCATATATTCTCTTCTGAAGTAGTCGCTGTTTTTGTCATTAATCTGTGTTTTGGTTTGCTGTGTTTCAGGTTTTGTCTTGGAGTGTCATGGACAACCTGTGAAGTTGTAATCTGAAACGGTGGGTTGTCATGGACAGGTAAAGTGAAGTGAAGCTGTTTTGGTGTGAAGAGTGAAGCTACTTTGTTGTCTTCTGAATTGTTTTTTTGTCATTCACATGTAAAGTGAAGTGAAGGTGGGTTGGTGTCTTCTGAAGAGCTTTGGTCTCGTCTGTAACAGTTAAATGTCTTGTGAAGCTTTTTTGTGTCGTGTGTTGTGCTTGCTAGTCTTGTGAACTTATTTTGGTGTCATCTAAGTCACTGGATGTAACCCGTGTAGTGGTTACAATAAACCCGTGAAGTGCTTTGTTTTTTTTTTGTCAACTAGTAGGTCTGTTCTATATATTTCCCATCTTCTACTCAGTCCTCTCATTCTCAGCCTTTATTTCAGTTTAAATCCCACAAATCGAGTGTCTTTGTAAAATAACATTCTCAGCCTTTATTTCAGTTTATTTCAGTTTTTCACATTCGCATGTCTATTTGATTATAATCTTTCTTTTCCTCAGTTTTTAACAAATACAAGTCAAAACACCCAATTGTAGTAAACCCAAAAGCAAAACCCAAAATCATTACCTAAGTCTCAAAAAAGTTTTAAAAAAACATCTCAAACCGCCTTACACCAAAACAAGATGTCAAATTCGAGCTATGATGAAGAGATGGAGGAAGAGGTTGATGAAATGATAGAGGAGGAAGTTGACAACATTGTTGAGGAGATTCAACACCATTACATTCATACAGAAGATGTACCATCTCCAATATTCAGAAGAAATTACGTTGATAGAGATCGGGAAGGAGGCCACATTCAGTTATGGAATGATTACTTTAGTGAATCTCCAACTTACACTAACGCTATGTTCCGCCGACGGTTTAGAATGAATAAACCGTTATTCATGCGTATTGTTAATATTATGGAGAATGGAGTCCCGTACTTCGTCCAAAGACGAGATGCAACTGGAAGACTCGGTCTTTCCGCGCTTCAAAAATGTACGGCAGCGATTCGGATGATGGCATACGGATGTGCGGCAGATGCTGTGGATGAGTATTTACGTCTTGCTGAAACCACTGCGCACAAATGCCTTGAAGCTTTTGTAGACGGAGTAATAACTTTTTTTGGAGATGAGTACCTCCGAAGGCCTACGGCAGAAGACCTCCAACGATTATTGAATATTGGAGAACATCGCGGATTTCCCGGAATGGTAGGGAGCATAGACTGTATGCATTGGGAGTGGAAAAATTGTCCAACAGCATGGAAAGGACAATATTCACGTGGATCTGGAAAACCGACAATCGTACTAGAGGCAGTGGCATCTCAAGATTTATGGATTTGGCACGCATTTTTCGGACCACCAGGTACATTAAATGATATAAATGTTTTGGACCGCTCACCAGTGTTTAATGATATAGTTGAAGGTCGAGCTCCAAGAGTTACCTATGTTGTCAATGGACGACAATACAAAATGGCGTATTACCTCACCGACGGTATCTATCCCAAATGGGCTGCTTTCATCCAATCAATTACACTTCCACAAGGTCAGAAAAACCAACTCTTTGCTGAACGTCAAGAATCATGTCGAAAAGATGTAGAGCGTGCATTTGGAGTCTTGCAAGCTCGTTTTGCAATAGTCAAGAATCCCGCCCTTTTTTGGGATAAGAAAAAAATCGGAAAAATAATGAGAGCATGTATCATATTGCACAACATGATTGTGGAAGACGAACGACATGAATACGGTTTTTACAATCCCTCGGAGTTCTATCAAGAAGAAGGAAGCGGTACTTCACATGTGGACTTATCGTATTCTACAGATATGCCATCGAATCTCACTAATATGATGGGCATTCGAAATGACGTTCGTGATACGAAAATGCATGAACGTCTAAAAAAAGATTTGGTTGAGCATCTTTGGCAAAAATTCGGCTCATCCCAACAATAAAACCATGTTCGTTTCTTTTCTCAATTCCCATTTACTCTTTTGCAATTTATGTACGTCTTTTTAAATGTTTGTATAATATGTTTCCAATTATGGATTATGTAAAATATGTTTCTTTATTTCTAATGTAATATATGTAATTTTAATTTTTCCAATTTAGTATCATTTGTTTCCAATTATGAATAATGTCAAATTTTCTTTCAAATGTAATATATATAATTTATATTTTCCAATTTTGTATAATATGATTCTAATTTCTGAATTTTGTAAAATTTTCATCTTTCTTTTTAATGTAATTTATGTAAATTTAATTTTTAATTGTTAATTTGCATTATTTATTAATTTAGTTTAAATTTTAAAAAATTATATTATAATAATGCTTAAGTACCCATGAATTGGATCATGAGTGGAAGGCTTTTTTCTTTACCATTTCTAATTGATTTTTTTTAATTAGTTTTATTAAAGTTTAATGAAGCATTTAATGTTAAGTACCCTTAAGATGGATGATGAGTGGAGTTGCTCTTAAGACTCTTTGAGGGAGGAGTCTTAATGCCAGGTGTTTAATTGTGATAGGGTTTTGATTTTTTTTGGAAAAGAAAATATTAATATGTTCTGAAAGAAAAAAACAAAATCCCCAATGACAAAATCGATCTCTCCTTCACCACCTCCTCCACCGCCTTCTTCTTCTCTACCACAGCCGGAGCAAGAACAGGAACATGAACAGCCTCCGCAACGCCGTGAGAGAGATTCACGTGAGCGGCGTGACAACAGAGACCTTGAACGCCGTGACCGTGACCGTTCGCCTCTCCCACCGCCTCGTAGGGATTACAAGAGACGTCCTAGTTTGAGTCCTCCGCCACCGTATAGAGATAGGCGCCGTGGTGGTAACCGTGGTGGCTATGGGCCTCTGGATAGAAGGTAATCTTTTTTTCCTCTGCTCAGTGAAAATTTTGGATCTTCTTTGCTGTAACACATTGCTCACACTTCCATTGGAATTATATCGAAGTTAATTTGTTACCGATTGAACTATAATTCAAAGTTATATGGAAACTGTGTTTTGATAGAAGGATAATGTAAGTTGCATTTATTTTTAAGTTGAGAGAACCTGTATTACACGTTTGCACTTGTGAGACATGTTTAAGAGGACTGTAATCGGACGTTCTAATAAATTGAGACTTGTGGTTCATCTGATTAGTATGATTCTTAGTCATAGCTTCGTAATTTTTTCTCTATATGCTGTGTATTGAAAACAGTTAGAGTAACTTATTCACAATTCTATTTCTGAACATGCTGTGTATTGAAAACAGTTAGAGTAATTTAAATTTAAAATTTTAAAATTATATTAACATTATTATATTATTAAAATTTTAAGATCCTAGAAGTTTAACCTATAATCACCTCTAAATCAAAGATTCTTAACTTATTCTTTAACATTATTAATATTCATATATTACTCTAAGATACATCTTCACAATTATACCCATAACGATGCTCTGATGCCTGAGCTGACCAGCGGCTGCGCCTCACCCTTAATTTTAGGAAGCATACACGTTCGTCCTCTTGACCTCTTCCATTTGTATATATTTTTTTTTGAGACAGGGAAAAATGAATAGAAATCTTTAGTCATGGATTGAAAATTTGTCTGTTCGAGTAGTTCCATATTGCAAACCAAGAGCAAAAAAGACGTGGAACGGTACAAATCCTTAATTATAGAAAGTGCAACATGGATTGGAATCACAAAATAAAACCGGTACATATAATAACTGGCATTTGGGCCTAAGCAAGTAAGGTTCACTAGTTAATGAGCCACAATAAGTAGTTTATTGGGTTAGGGCATAAGAATATTCAGGCCTGGCCTTGATAAAAGATGACATTTGGGGAAGAAAACAAAAGCCCTTTTTTGATGATGCCACATGATTTAATACAGATAGAGATATATAAAACCCGTGTACGTAAGCGCGTTTAAGACACGCGTTCCATAGTAGTAGAAGTAGAAGTATTCTCACAGCTCTCTCTCTCTATATAAATAAACCAAAACGAAACGAAATCGTAACAAACCTCTCCTCTCTCGCCCAGCAAACAACCAAGCATTTGTATAGAGAGTATAGATGTCGACCGCTTCCGTCATCATCATCGGCGCCGGAATCTCCGGTTCGTGTATACCATCCAATACTTGTGTTGTAACTATCTTCGTACGTGGCTTGATGATAACTAACGATATTTATTTATTATTATTATTTGATAAAAAAAACAGGGATATCGGCGGCTCAGGTGCTGGTGGAGAAGGGAGTGGAAGACGTATTGATACTAGAGGCAACGGAGCGGATCGGTGGACGAATACGAAAGGAAGAGTTCGGTGACGTGCCGGTAGAGCTTGGCGCCGGTTGGATAGCGGGTGTCGGTGGTAAAGAGTCCAATCCTGTTTGGGAGCTCGCCTCCCGTTTTAACCTCCGTACTTGCTTTTCCGATTACACCAATGCTCGTTTCAACATCTACGATCGAAGGTCTCCCATTTCATCCCTCCTCAAGAATTATATATTTATTTTTATGTTTCTTCTTTTTTTAAATCGTATTCACGTTGCAGTGGTCAAATCTTTCCTATTGGAATCGCTGCTGATTCGTATAAGAAAGCTGTTGACTCGGCGATTTCTAAGCTTAAGAGTCTTGAATGTGCCGCCGGTCAAGTAGCTGAAGAAGAAGCTCCTTCGTGCGTCTTTGATCCTCTCTGTTTTTTTTTTTTTTTTTTTTTATCCTCTGTTTTTACTATAAAATAGAGTTTGTGTGTCGATTCTAATGATTTGTTGTTTAGGTCACCGAAGACACCAATAGAACTCGCCATTGACTTTATCCTGCATGATTTCGAGATGGCTGGTGAGACTAGATTATACCGTACGTATAAGTTAACTAAGTATTATTGCGGCTTGATTGATTTATTTGTGTGTTTGCAGAGGTTGAGCCAATATCAACATATGTCGACTTTGGTGAAAGAGAGTTCTTGGTTGCTGATGAAAGAGGCTACGAATGTTTACTTTATAAGATGGCCGAGGACTTTCTCTTTACCTCGCATGGAAACATCTTGGACAACCGCCTCAAACTCAACCAGGTTCAAATTCTTCTTCTTCTTCTTCTTCTTGATTAAGGTTACTGTCAAAATCATTGCTTATCTAGATTGCTGATAATATATTTTAGTCATCAGGTTTGAGTTGAAAGAGTATATATTTTGAACGTTTTAAGTAGGAAAGCTACTTTTGCTTTTTTTTTTAGTTATTGTTACTCTATTCGGTTGATTTGATTTGCATTATCTCTTTCTTCTTTTCCTGCTAAGGTTCTCTCAGCCTTTGGTTTCTAGTGGAATTGATTACACCCCCAGGTCATTGTAGCTTTATATATCTATATATATTTCTCTTTTGTATACTAGTAGTATAAATTTGATGGTCTTGAGAGTCGATATTTGTATTTGTAGGAAGAGCAATAGCATTATTGTGGGGTCTGTGCATGAGTGAACGTGTTTTATTTATTGCCCCTCTCACACTCGTAGACCAGCTGGCTTTGATTAAACGTTGAAAGCTGTGTGAATATATATTACTAGTACTAGTCTATATTAGTGTGTGATTGAAGCTGTGGGATCAATTAATGGGATGCATGCAGGTGGTTAGGGAGGTGCAGCAGTCTAGGAATGGGGTAGTGGTGAAGACTGAGGATGGTTCCGTGTATGAAGCTAATTATGTGATCGTGTCTGCCAGTATAGGTGTTCTCCAATCCAATCTTGTCTCTTTCCAGCCCTCTTTACCCGTTAGTTTTATCTTCCTCCTTGATTCTTCTCTTAATTATTGTCATAATTTATGATTAACTACTCATTCGTCTTTATCTTTCTATATGCTTTTTTAAACAAAGATACAAGGTGGAGATTTTTTAATCATTCAATGTGCATGAATCTAGGATAATATTAAACTTTCATTAGCCAATAGGTATCGAAAGTCAAAACTTTTGGTGTCACTCAAATTAAATGAGAACCAGGATTGTTTCTCTTTGTTCTATAGACTATAGTGTAAGTATATTTTTAATCAAAACCATGCACCAGATTAAATACAGTGGGTTCACTTATGCATGGTTGACCTGACCCACAGAATTCAAGAGTAGCAAATCCGCAGTTCAAAGTTGCTTGTGATATTCTTACTATCCAAAATGATTCTTTCTTTTGTCAGAGATGGAAAACAGAAGCTATACAAAAATGTGACGTGATGGTGTACACCAAGATCTTCCTCAAGTTCCCTCACTGTTTCTGGCCATGTGGTCCTGGTCAAGAGTTTTTCATCTATGCGCACGAACAACGCGGCTACTTCACCTTTTGGCAGGTTTATTTCCTTTCCTCAATAATTTTGACTACTAGTATGAAATAGTTGTTTGTTAATCTCGATGCATCTTTTTTGTTCGTTGCACTTAAGGGCGAAACGTGGCACATGCACTCTCTAATCTTCAAATTAAAAACACCTGGGGTCCCTTTGATTTAACCAAATCTTTGCTTTTAATTATCTTGAGTGTGTCTAATCCTAGCGGCTTGGTCCATGAGGTCTCAAGACTAGAAGAATCATCCACACAACACCATATTATATTGTGTATGCTGCATATATAGTTGCATATAACATTTAGCTTTTATTATTACTATATACAACTTACTTGCTTTCTCCTCTCCTCTCCAGCTAGCTTGCTTATTTATATATCTTAATCTAATTACTGCTTTGTTTATGATCAGCACATGGAAAATGCGTACCCGGGTTCTAATATTCTGGTGGTGACGTTGACTAACGAACAGTCAAAGCGCGTGGAAGCTCAATCAGACCAAGAGACGCTCAAAGAGGCAATGACTGTTCTCAGGGACATGTTTGGGTCCAACATTCCTTACGCAACCGACATTCTTGTCCCCAGGTGGTGGAACAACCGGTTTCAACGCGGTAGCTACAGTAACTACCCTATGATATCTGATAACAAGCTCCTACAAAATATCAAGGTAACAACACACCTTTTGTTTTTATTGAGCCACACACACACACACACGTCTTTCATGTATGTAAGACGAGTTTTGGGGTTTTCAGGCCCCAGTTGGACGGATATTCTTCACAGGAGAACACACAAGTGAAAAGTTCAGTGGGTATGTACATGGA